GGACAGTTATTAACGAAGTTAAAGCGATTCAATTCCCAATGAAAGATTATGAGTTCATTTCCTGGTGTCAGAAAGGGATGAATAAGAGAATAAAGATGACTAAGTGAAATTAAGAAATTCTGTTGCCCACATCACACAACCTTCACTATTTCCTCTACTATTAACAGAAATTATTGTTTGACAATACTAAGCTATGGCAAAAAGTTTTTTGAATTTTTGACACTGATCTACCTTAAGCTGGTTTCATTGCCTTAATTTATCAAATAAATCGTACTCAAATCTTTTGTTTGTTTAATGTTCAGGAAAATAAATTTAGCTCAATTCTTTTTTGTTTCTTCATGAACATATGTAAAGATATAAAAACTTTTCTGAAATAGGTAGGAAAATCGTGTGCGTGGACACACCAGATGTTTTAATATTGAAAATTGCAAATTTTAGTAATGTAAGATGGGGTAACTTTGGGACAGCGGGTAAAATTTAGTTCGTGGTAATTCCGTGGTGGATACACTGTGGTGGTTCATTCTGCAAAAGCGTGCTTAGTGTAGGCATGTACTGCGGCTACTACCTTGCGGTACACTACTCTTGAGGCACAAGCGAAAGTTTCATGAAAACAAGAATTTTAATAAAAGCTTTGGAAGTAAATAAAACCTAACTGCACAACGAGTGTAGTGAACTGGAGTTCTCAAACTGCCGCAAGGTAGTAGCGCAGTACATGCCTACACAAAGTACGTTTTTGCAGACTGAACCAACACAGTGTATCCACCACGGAATCACCACAAACTAAATTTTATCCGCTGTTCCAAAATTACCCACACTCAGACACAAATTTACTCTATCTAACGGTGCTTGATTTTATAGGGGACTTGTTTTTCTATCCATTATTGTATCCAAATTCGACGTTAGCACAACATTTCGAAAGCTGACCCACATTAATTCCTTTTAAGCTAGTAGATATTTAGAAAAACTTCTAAAGCATTTTTTATCTTTGGTTCTAATTTGTTTACGGAGGTTGCGTTTACACCATTTTCTCTAGCATTCAGAGCCCTAAGTCCATAATAATTTTCGTGTGATTCGGTAGAACCGTTCTACCTTCGGTAGAAGGTATCCCAATTTTTTGATTGGTGACAAAATTTCGAAAAAGATTTCATTCCAACATTTTTTTTTTTTTGTTTTTCTTGGCATAGGAATTTTGCATACAGCGAGTTATAAAATCGTGTATTTGTATTCCTATTATTTATTATTTCCAATTTAAATATATTTATTTATTAAATACAAGTACCGCGTGACATTGATTATCTCCTCAGGATTGTTGGATGTTAACAATTTCTTATATATATCATCATTATTATAAGGATTTAGAATTTTTTTCCTTTGAAGTTTATAAGCAGAGCATTCTAAAATTATAGGTAGGATGGTCACTGTTTTGTTAGATTTATCGTATATTGCAGAATTTTCGATTCCAATACGTTGAAGGTATATTTTGAATAATACATGACTTGCTCTAAGTCTAGAAAAATTTTAATATTTCGATTGCTATGGAAATTCGTGTTTTAAAGTTTTTCCAGGAAGAACTGTAGAAGAACTCGGATAAGAAGGACTGCAATGGGCAGTAAAACAGTGAGTCTTCAGTGAAAGAATGTGACAGAACTCATTCAACAACCCTTAGCCTTCGGTAAAAAAAATGAGGCAAATAGCCTAGTTCACGAAGCCCAAGAGCTTAATAATAAAAACTTATCATTTGTCCATATATGAGGCTAAAATCAACTCATAATAATCACCATAATACAGCCTATATATAGTATATCGGTGATTATCATTTTAGTGGCAAGTTTTAGTCCATTACAACTTTTACGTGATTAGCTAAGTCTTTTTTTTTTAACTTGTTTATTGAAAATTATTATTATCTATCCCAAAAGACATTTATAATAGTGTTCAGACATAAAAAAAAAACCTAAAAAGAAAAAAAGACACATACATACCTATATAAACTATTTACAATCAGGCAAGGGAACTCCGAGCCAGACTTGCCTCTCCAACTGTGGAGGGAAAATCATGACTCCAGGATCTCTGCACTTCTCTCTCAACCGCGTCACTGGGGCTAAACCCTGTGGAGATTGAGCGAGAATGCTTTAGCCATATATACTCATCTCGTGAGTGGAGAAGCTGGTCATTGCCAGAACTCCAATATTTACAAACTATGAGCCATTGCCGTTTTAACATTCTTGGATGATTATAGGGATGGGTGGTGCTGGATAGGGATTGTACAATGGGATTCGGATGATGGGCAAGGTTTTGGTGAAATTCGGAGAGTTTTGCTGTGGTAAGATTTAGGACAAATGGGATATTAAGATCATTGTGAATGGTTTTGTTGGTTACATAGAAAGAAGCATCGACTATTGTTCGAAGGGTTTTGGACTGGAAGGATTGGATACGTTTGATGTTAGAAATTTTTTCTGTTCTCCACAGTTCAGGTCCTTACGTATAAGTAGGTTTCAGCATTGTATTGTAGAAAAGTATTTTATTTTCAATAGAAAGTTTAGATTTTCTATTTTGTAGTTTGTATAGTTGGTTCCACGTTAGACGTCTGTCTAAGAGAAAGCCAAGATACCGGAGTGTGTCTGAGAGAGGAAGCTGGATGGAATTAAAGTGTACTGGTAGACAGGAACTGCGTCGGAGTGTGAAGGTGATGTGTTGGCATTTGGATTCATTTATTTTAATACGCCATTTATTACACCAGTGCTCCATCAGGGAGAGGTGCCTTTGTAGATTTAAAGATGCTATATCAGGATCTGAGTCGGATGATGGAATGGCGGTGTCATCAGCAAATGTATATATATATATGACAAGGCAATGCAAATCTCGTAATTACTTTTTAGTAAACTTTGTAGTAGAAAATAACTGTTTAATAACTGATAGTCCTACAATCTATAATCAACGGATCGTACAATCCATAATCAACTTGTGATATAATAAATAGGCCTTTTGTTATTTTAATGGTATTTATGATTTGCTAGCTTTAAGCTTTTAACCTTAGCTCGGTTATAAATACAATTCAAACATTTTTTAATAGGCCAACATGGCCAGAAAATAATTTCTATTCAAAGTTGAGCGGTAAGTGAAAGTTGTGTGTTGCGCGCACCGGATTTTTTCTCTTCCAATATTGGTGAGATTTTTCAGTATTTTCCTATGTATGCTTTTATCTAGACAGTCGACATCTGCAATTTTAAGGTTCTTAATTCTTCTCTTATTGTTCTTAAAGATCTTTTTATTCAATCTTTCTTCCTTCATCCTTTTCATGTGCCCATAGAACATCAGCCTTCTAATTGTCATCTCGGTTTCCAGGTTTTCGATTTTATAATTAAAATATATTCAAAATTAAAATTTTAAACTTAAAAACTAAATCAGAACAAACCAAAACAAATTTATTGATTAGAAGAGGTTAATTAAAATAACTTTTGATTATTATATTGCTTCTATTTATTTCATATTTTTTGTACATATAGTATGAATGAAATCCTACCTCACTATAACTAATGTTCAACAGACAGATTGTTGTAATACTCAATAAATAAATTTTTAAAAAACGCTACAAATTATTTCACAATGGTTTATTATTTCCAAACAATTTTACATCTAAAGTAATATTACCTTCCGAGTTACAAAGAAAAGAAAACAAAAGGTGATTCCAATTATTGGACTAAACTATTTTTCTTTAATCATTAATAATATGCTAAAAAAAAAATAGCATTAGTTCAGTAAAACATTCAAAATTTAAAAACCAAACATTTGGAGTAGAACATATTAAAAAAAACAGAGACCATGTGTTTGCTCCTAATTGTCCGATATTAATTTTTTTTTTTTTTTTTTTTTTTTTTTTTCTTTTTTTTTTTTTTTTTTTTTTTTTTTTTTTTTTTTTTTTTTTTTTTTTTTTTTGAAAGGAAATTTCGCAAACTTTAAAAAAACTATCCTTAAACGTGAAACATCAAATTTTGAGAGGGGATTAAGTTTTTGAATTTTTTGGTCGATCACAATGGTTCATTATTGAAAATGATAAACCAAAAATATATTAAAATCGTGGTATTTCTACTAATAGTGCTTTGATTTCGACGAAACTTCTTTCATTTTTTAGGAAATTTAAATACCTTTGAAACATTTAATGACAATATCGACAAAAAAGTAAAAACTTTTCGAGTTATTCGGAATTTAATTTTACCATCCCTCGTAACTTTTTTTCCAGCATCTTTTCGTTGAAGTATGTTATATAGATAAATTTAAAGGGCGTCGAGGAAATGACTTTAGCGAAGTTTCATTGAAATCTGTACATTCGTTTAGGAGCTCCAGTCTATAGCAACTCAGGTTTTTCGGCCGCCATTTTGAAACTTAAAGGCGAAGAGTAATGTCGATGAAGGAGGATCATCCTCGGGTGACCTCTGATTTTATATCAAAATATGAAAAAAATCGGTCCAGTAGTTTCGGAGAAAATGCGCGGACGGCGGACGGACAAAAAATTTTTTATTTGTTTTTCTAATTCTACTCATCCTAAAACGTGAAACCTCAAATTTTGAGAGGGGGTTAAGTTTTTGAATTTTTTGGTCGATCACAATGGTCGATTATTAAAAATAATAAACCAAAATAAATAAATTAAAATTAAAAAAATTAATCTTGTTAGCGTTAACACCCCGAAAAACTATAAAATATGATTTTTATTTTATTATGAAATGGTAGGCATAAAATAAGAGGAATACACCTACATATGAATATAATCAGAGGAACAGTGAATAAGATGAAGGTCCTTGGAATAGAAAAGAGGAGAAAGGAAATGATTAAAACAATGAAGACAGTTTGGGCTAAAAGAAAAGTCAATAATAATGATAAACTAACGGTCCTCATCTGACCTATATCGAAAAAAAAAATACTATTAATAATATGAAAAAAATAAAGATATCCCTATCGCTCTTTAATTTAGCAAGATTCTAGTCGAGGGAGTAATGGAGGGGGAGGTTGATCTGTTCTAGTTCATTCAAAGTTGTGTGAGATCACACGTGCCGTCTCGTGTCGTGCAATATCCACTCTCTCATCTGGTGCTCCATTTAGCGCGTGTCCTCTCCCAATCAGATCAAGATATCAAGTAAGTATCTTAATCACAACCTAAAGGTATACCAGATAATATTATAATCAAAAAATAACATATGTCATGCCAGTTTCAGCTCACTACTTAAACACAAAGTGAACAAAAATATCAGTCGTGCATTTAATGTTTTTATTTAAAAAAAAAATGTAATTTATTGAACATAAAAAAAAATATTCCAATTGATGTTGTTTAAAATCTTGTTTACAAATACTTAAGAAAGGGTCTGCCAACTGACAAGGGTACTGCGTAAGTGGGGTCATCAATTTCAATCAAAATTTAATTTTGTTCATTTCAAAGAATTTGCACATTTTCGCCTCCATTTTTTTTTTCGAATTTCACAAAAAAAATTATAACTTTAATATGACTCCATCTATCCGTACAAATATTATACAGAGATTTAGTTTTTTAAATAAAACAGATAAAGAGTTAGAGATATAAAATAAAAACTTTTAAATAGTTTTTTTTTTATTACTTCTCATAAAAGTGTAAATCAAAAGATACTGATATAGTAAGGAAGAACAATAATTCAGCGTTCTAGCGATTGTGGTAACTTTGAAATAGAAAAAGCTCCAGATAAGTTATGAATGGTTCAGACTTGAACAAAAATTGTCTTCTAAAATAACGAATCCAAAAAATTACATTTTTTACTTTCACTAACCAATATATGTAATATATAGTAAGAGAATTTTTTCGGATAAAAGTTTTTAATACACGTTTTGAGTTCCTCTGAACCTAAATAGCCAAGTTCCGCAAAATTGTCTGTGTGTGTGTGTGTATGTGAACAGTCTAGCTCAAAAATGAAAAGTCGCACGTAACTGATAATACGTATTTCAGACAGATATATGGCTGGATATTACAGCAACTTTTTTCTTGAAATCGGCTAACCGGAAATGTAACTTTATATAAAAGGTTATACACATTTTTAAAATTTTTTTCAAAAACGGCTCTAACGATTTTCATTAAACTCGGTGTATCAATGTATAATGAAGTGGCCTTTAATATCATTTAGGTGTTACACCCATTAATGTCACTCTACAGAACTTAAATGCCCAATGGTCAATATTTCTTCCTCTAAAGTGCTTTTAATTTGGTTCATTTCAAATAACTACCTATCTCTCATTATTAGCAGTTACGAAAAATAAATGCTAATTACAACTTTTTAAAGAATTTGATTATTGAATAAAGAAGAAAAAATTTTAAATGTTTATTTATTTCGGAAATGTATCGTTGAAAAACTCAAAATTATAGAAAAAACACTATCTAATATAGAAAGTCGTAGAAGTTAATGGAGAGTTACGAAAAATTAATTTAAATTAATAATAATAATTTGTCAAAACTTATATTATTTAACGAAAATCAGATGTGTCCTAGGATATTAAATACAATTTCCTAATTAAATGTAAACTTTTAAAACTATATTTAAGTTTTAAAAAAGTATTTAAAATTCACCAAATCAAGGCAATAGCATAATTTAAAATACTATTTCATTTTACATGTGTGAAAGAAGGAGAAAAATATAAAAATATTTCATGAATGTTTAAAACATTTGTTTATTAAATTGAACACATGTTTAATAAATCTAAATTTAATATTATATTTATGAGCTGGATGAGGGACCTCCACGCCTAATGTGGATATCACGCCGAGTGAGGTGCCGCTGGGCACTGATCCTCCTCATGCCTTTCATGACAATTCTATTAATCAATCGATCTCACATTCATTGGTTGTCATTATCATTATGACAGGTGTGAATAAAACATTAAAGCTAAAAAAAAAAAAAAAAAAATATTATATTTGAATAATTACGTATCGATGTCCGTTTATTCCGAAAAATTATCATGTAACCTTTAATAAAATGAAATTTTTTTTTTTTTTAATTTCTTTATTGAGTATTATAACAATCTGTCTGTTGGACATTGGTTATAGTGAGGTAGGATGACATTCACACCATATGTACAAAAAAATAAAATAAATAGAACAAAATAATAATCAAAAGTATATACAATAGACAATAAAATAAAATAACCTAAAAAAATAAGAAAATTAAAACTAAGAAAAAAAAACACATGCATACCTGAAAAAAAAAATGAAATTAGTGAATAATTTGATGAATTTTTTTCTTTGTTGAATCCCAGCATATTCTACTTACAATTAGTGTCATAACTTTTGGTCTGTCTAGGGCAGGAAACGAAAATCTCGTAATTTCATTTTAGTAAACTTTATAATGAAAAATAACAGTTTAATAACTAATAGTCGGACAAACCATATTCATTTATAGGTTAAATATACATATGTAGTTTCAAATCTCTCTGGGCATATATGAGCTTTTCATTTAAGAGATTACTAACTCCAATTTTAACATTTTTGATTATTAATATTAGTGAAATTTCTAGTGAGAAAATGTATATATTTATTCACATTTCAATAATTCAGCGCTACAATCCTCTACTCTGGAATTAACTTACTCACTGTCTGTACAGATATTATAAATTTTCCAACAAGAAATATCATTAAAATGACATTACTCAAAAATGTTGAAATTGTAGTTAGTCATTCTGTCAACTGAAAAGAATATATAGCTCAGAGACTGGAGTTATGTGGTTTACTAAAGCAGATAGAGTTACGAGGTTTTTATTGCTTATCGTCAATATAATAAGTAAGTAGCACAGGCGTTGATGATCTTCGGGTTTTACGCCTTAAAGCCTAAATAAACAAACATATAATAAGTAGGATTTTTGTTATTTTAATGATCTTCATAATTTATTAGCTTTAAAGTTTCAGCTGCGTTTAAAAGGCACTTCAACATTTTTATAATTGCCCAAAATTGTCAAAAAATAATGTCTGTTAAAAGTAGAGCGGAAAGTGAAAGTTGTGTTTTGCGTGCATTATAATATTATAGCTATAAATAAAATAAATTCAAGCAATATATATTTTTTAATTTCACTTCTCTGTATAGGGAATATATAGTAATGGACATTATTTCAACAAATTATCGTTTAAAATGTATTCAAGCTATCCGTTTAAAGGTTCTTAACCAATGGCTGGACCTGTTTCTAAGTTAGATAGTTCAAATTATTTAGAGAGATCTCTTTAATGTTAAAATTGTAGTATATCAAAGCATTTATCACTCAACTTTATTTCCATCTCCGTGAATTTTTATTCCATATTTTGAAAACCTTTATAGGGTATTGAACAGCAGTAGAGTTAGAGAACGCCCTTGTTCGAGTCCTTCACGGAAAATAAATTAGTTTGTTAGTAAATTTTTCAGTTTTATCCTCGCTCTAACATCATTATTAGTGTTGCCCCAAATCAATCTGGACCTTGCTCTTGCAAAAGATCAAGTCCAAAATTGTATCAAGATCTAGACTAGACCCTGCAAGACTTGAGCAAGAACAAAACTGGCCTGCGAAACACTTACAATCTTGCAGTTAAGTCAAACTGAGACTATTTTCTTATATAGTACAGTGCTCAAACATTTTAATCATGCCTTAAATCTAAACAGCGTTGTGTTTTCTTGAAAATTTTTATATTTTTGTATAGCTTTCCAAACAATATTAAAAAATTAATCATGTGATAGCACTCGATCAAGATAAAACAAAACAAAACATCTGGTGTGTCCACTCACACGACTTTCCTACCTATTTCAGAATAGTTTTTATATCTTTAAATATGTTCATGAAGAAACAAAAAAATTGAACTAGATTTATTTTCCTGAAAATTGATCAAAGAGAAGATTTGAGTACGATTTATTTGATAAACTAAAGTAATGTAAACCGGCTTAAGGTAGATCAGTGTAAAAATTTCAATACTCTCTAATATTGCTGATCAAAAACTTTTTGTCATATCTTAGTATTGTAAAGTAGAGGAAATTGTGAAGCTTATGTGATGCGGGCAACAGATTTTCTTACCTTCACTTAGTCATCGTTTTTCTGTCATTCACCGCTTTCTGACACCAGTATATAAACCAGTAATCGTATATTGGAAATTGAATAGCTGTAACTTCGTTAATAGTTGTCCAAAATGAACGATTTTTATATATTTTTGAAGGGAATTTAATTACCTTTCAAAAGTTATATTATAAATTTTACAGTATAATATATACTTAGGGAGTTTGGCCTCATAACATTTTTCTTTTCTTTATAATTTTTTCCCCTGAATTTTCTCAAGAATTTATTCTATATAAGAAAATTGAAAGACCAATTATAAGAACATTATAGGAAAATATCAGCAAAGCCGTTTTCGCGCTACGGTCTATAGAAAAACATGTTTTTCATTTATTGCGTGCAAGATATTGCGCATAGAGCACCGAATTTCTGTCACAGGCATCAGTAGAAGCAACAAAATCGGTTGAGCAGTTTTCGAAAAAATCTTGGCACAGACAGAACAATGGCTAAAAATGTGTTTTTCGGACTTAAGGGACTCAGAAACGTATAGATCCGTCGAAATCCGCATGTCGGAAATTGGACCCGATTGCAATACTTTCCTTACCTGGTATAGGTAGGAAAGTAAAAACGCGTTTTCCTGAATAAAAATTAAGACAAAACAGCTGTTACTATATTAAAACTTCTCACATGTGGACCCTTACGGGGAATCGAAAATTGTCGCTTATAGAGATATGTCTGATATAGAAAAATTGGAAGAAAAACATGTTAAACAAATAACAAACCATTTGCCCAGAGGCGCCGGGCTGGAAGTGCCTAACACTTATTAGAAATTTAAAAAGAGAATGTGACGAGTACGAGAAAAAATAATGTTAACTTATGTTAAGAAAGCTAATAGAAACTGTATTATATGTGCAAAATGGCTTTTTACATTCTGTATTTACATGACTATATTCATTGCTTTTTTTCGTCAAGGAACAATGGATGCAGACAATCTAGACGCATGTCCTGCCTTGAGGGATATGAGAGAAAAAATATTTTGAAATATATATATTAAAAAATCTAAATTATACTGGGCAGCAAGATGTCGGATGGCCAAATGACCAACGATATGCT